ACTGAAAGTGATCTACTTGGAAAATTTGTACACCCTGTCTCTGTAACTTTAGGCTCTGCTGAACACAATGTTCTTACTTTCCATGTGGGGGTGTAAAGGTGAGGTGGTGCTCCTCCTAAATCTATACCTACTAACTGTCTCAATATTCTGGATTTCTCAAGCCAGTGAAAGAACATGCAAGAAAAAACAATCAACTGGCGGAGCTCCAGCTGATAAGGAGATTGTCATGAAGGTTGTTGCTACATAATGTGGGAAAGGAGAACCAAGCGTAAAACTCAGGGTACTCATTCAAGCACTTCCATGCTCAGTGAAGACTGTGGACAATTTCAGGAGCCACGATGAAATGGACACACAAAGACTGTGGATTCACAGGCCTCTGGGTTTCAAGTTCAGGCCATCTCACTGATCAACCTGCTGGCACAGAGTTAGCCAAGCGTGCAGGGAAATTAGAAAGGGTATGAGAGGAGAAAAAAGATAAATATAAATTATGAACTTTGTTCTAACGTCAGCAGCCCACCTTCCTGATGTATTCTTAGCTGTTTTTGTTTGTTTGTTTTCGTGTTTGTTTCTTTTAATTGTGAGCAGTCACCATCTTTAAGGATCAGTGACTGGATATAGAGGACACTGTTGAGGTTTCTAACTACCATAACCTACAACTTCTGGTCTCAGTTTCCCCTCCTGGGGCCAGAATCTCTTTTGCCCACATATGGGGAAGGCTGGTACATAAAGCCCCAGCTCCTTGGGGCTTTTGGCAGAATAACTTTGAAGTTCATATTCTAAACAGCTTCTAGGATTCTTTAGTAGGATAAAGTTCCTTTAAATGAAGTTGAGATCCTTTAATTGGTTCCCTCCTTCCTTCTCTTGACTCAATTCCATACTCCTTTAACTGGTAGTGCTTCCTGGGATCATGTCCCAAATCAACTACCACACTTTGAATCCATGAGTGAGAATCAGGAAGAAGCCAGTTTAAGACAGTGACCTTACTTAATATCTGCTGGTTTTATATAAATTTCATTAGATAGGCCAAATCCATACCGAATTTAATGTTTCTTTACAACTTTCTCTTTTGTTATGCTTTTGTAATCAATGATATGTTTATGTACAAGTGAAACTAAATAACTACCTTTCTGATCATTTGAGAAATTGTATTTTACCTGTTCACATTTTGTTAAGTGTTGAGCTAAAACACAGAGCAGAGTGTAAAATAAAACTAGGATGACTTAGATCTTAGGCAGTATCAAGTTTTCTGAAATAATATCAAGGATACAGACAAGCTAAAGGATTGTTTAGGTTCGGGTAAGGCAGAGAAAGATCTGGACATTGAGAGTGGTTCCCCAGGTGTTATGGGCTGAATTGTGTCCCCTCAAATTCATATGCTGAAATCTGAACCCCTAGTACCTCCGAATGTAACAGTATTCAAGGATAAGTTCTTCGAAGAGGTGGTTAAGTCATAATTAGGCTATTAGGATAAAGACATCATCTACTAGGACTGGTGTCCACACGAGAAGGAGAGACACCAGGGGTGTCGATGCACAGATGGATGACCATTTAAGAAGCAATAAGGCAGCCATCCGCCATCCAGGGGAGAAGGCTGCAGGAGAAACTGACCCTGCCAGCACCTTGATCTTGGAGTTCCAGCCTACAAAACCATGAAAAAATACATTTCTGTAGTTTGAGCTACCCAATCCATGGCATTCTGTTATGGCAGTCCTAGGAAACTAGATCAGGCCATACCTTACTGTAATGGAGACACACATGTGGCCCAGATGAAAAGAAGTCTCCAAAGGAGGTATGCAGAGTTCCTTGCATGTATCACCTATGGGACATTTTTATGTCATTGATCCTGGGTTCTATAGCTACCCTCAGCCAGTGATATCCTGCTAAAAGCATTTTAGTTATAAATCCTCTTCCTCTTCGTAAACATCAAACATCTAGTTACCTAGAGTTCAGACTAACAGAGGAATTAGACCTGCTTCCCGAGACTACTTTTTTCCTAGGGGCGCCCTTCCGGTGAAGGAAGTTGCTTTAACTTCATCCTCCCAAGAGCTTTCAAAGACAAATCTCTTCTTCTATGTTCAGTACAAAATGACCTCAGCACAAATCGCTCACTTCCATCTCTGTGAATATAACCACTTCAAATGTGAAGTTATATACCAATAAACGGTCATGAAATTTCATGAGATGTGGTAACATTCATTTTGTCCTGTTTTATTTGCTTTGGAGTTCAACATTCTTTAGCTATGAGTAGGAAGGTCCACTATGGTCTTTGGAAATAATATTTTTTAAAAAGCACATTGACATATCAGTTCTTGTGTTAATAATACTTTGAAAACATAATACATTATTATAATTCTTAATACATTATTATGATACATATTACCAGTGGCATTTTCCACAAAGGTGTAAACAATAACCCTAAAGAGCCAAAGCAATCTTGAGAAAGAAGAACAAATCTGGGGATACCACATTCCTAGACTTCAAGATATACTACAAAATAATCAGAACAGTATGGTACAGACACATAGATCAATGGAAAATAAACACACAGATCAATGCAACAGAATAGACTCCAGAAATAAACCCACACTTACATGGGCAATTGATCAATGACAAAAGAGGAAGAATATACAATGGAGAAAAGATGGTCTCTCCAACAAATGGTGTTGGGAAAACTGGACAGCCACATGCAAAAGAATGAAACTGGACCATCTTCTCACACCATATACAAATAAACTCAAAATGGTTTGAAGACCTAACTGTGAGATCTGAAACCATAAAAATCCTCTAAGAGAACAAAGGCAGTAGCTTCTCTGACATTAGCCATAGCAACATTTTTCTAGATACGTCTCCTAAGACAAGGAAACACAAGCAAGCATAATCTATTGGGACTATATCAAAATAAAAAGCTTCTGCCCAGCAAAGGAAACCATCAACAAAACAAAAGAAGCAACCTAATAAATGGGCAAAGATATTTGCAAATGATAATTCAATAAGGGGTTAAGATCCAAAATATGTAATTCCCTAACTCAAAACCCTCCCCAGCCCCCCAAGAAAACATACACAAAAAAACAACACAATTAAATAATGGGCAGAGGCCCTGAATACATTTTTCCAAAGAAGACATGTAGAAGGCCAACAGACACATGAAAAGATGCTCAACAGACACATGAAAAGATGCTCAACATCACTCATCATCAGGGAATGCGTATCAAAATCACAATGAGATATTGCCTTAGACCTGTCAGAGAAGCTAATGTGAAAAAGACAAAAAAATATCAAGAGTTGGTGAGGATGTGGAGAAAAAGAAACCTTCATGCACTATTGCTGAGAATGTAAATTGGTGCAGCCACTGTGGAAAACAACACGGAGGTTCCTCAAAAATTTAAAAACAGAAATACTTTATGATCCAGTAATTCCAATACTAGGTATTTACCCAAAGAATATATATATATATAAGAAAACACTAATTCAAAAAGATATATGCACCCCTATGTTTACTGCAGCATTATTTATTATAACCTAGATACGGAAGTGACCCAAGTATCAACCAAAGGATGAATGGATAAAGACAATGTGAGATACACACACACACACAACACACACTGGAATATGACTCAGTCAAAAAAAAAAAAATGAAATTTGGGACACCATGGATAGACCTAGAAAGTATTATGCTAAGTAAAATGTCAGGTGGAGAAAAACAAATACCATATAATTTCACTTACATGTAGAATCTAAAAATCAAAACAAATGAACAAACAAACACACAAGAGACTCTGAAATACAAAAAACAAACTGGTGGTTGCCAGAAGGCAGGTGGGTGGGGAGAATGGGTAAAATAGACAAAGGGGATGAAGAAGTACAAACTTCCAATTATAAACGAAATAGGTCACAGATGAAAAGTACAGAATAGGGTGCCTGGGTGGCTCAGTTGGTTAAGCGACTGTCTTCGGCTCAGGTCATGATCCTGGAGTCCCGGGATCGAGTCCCGCATCGGGCTCCCTGCTCAGCAGGGAGTCTGTTTCTCCCTCTGACCCTCCCCGCTCTCATGTGCTTTCTCTCTCTCAAGTAAATAAAATCTTTAAAAAGAAAAAGGAAAACTACAGAATAGGGAATACAGTCAACACTATTGTAGTAACAGATGGTAGCTATACTTACCATCATGAGCACTGAACAACGTATAGAACTGTTGAATCAATATGTTGTATACCTGAAACTAATAAGACTAATATGACCTTAATTATACTTCAATTTAAAAAACTGTAATACATTATGGATATGTGTCCAATGTGAAAAATGAGTATTATAATGAACAGAAAATTGCCATATAATTATACTGCCAAGTTGCTACTTATTAGTGATAAGGAAAAATCTGTGTCATAAGACGGCCTACGAGCCAGCAAGGGAGTCCCAGCCCCTGCCCCGGGGCTCTTCCGGCTCCTTCTCTCTGCTCTGCTTCCCGCGTGCACCAAAAGGCTTCCCACGAGCGTCAAAATACCAAGTATGCGGAAGTAGAAGTGTATAAATTACCCCCTTTGTTTGTGTTCAGGGCTCAGACCTTTGGAGACCACTCTCCTCTGAGCCTGCCGGCATTAAATAAACCTATCCTCCAAGGTCTCTGAGCGCCGCTTGGTTCTTCCGTCGGGTGATCCAGTCCAGGTTCCGTAACATTAGGAGTTACGGTGATTACAGTGAGTATAGAGGTTCAAGTCACCTGTTTAAGCTCCTCGGTGCTAAGGAGAATATTTGCCAGGCTTTTTCTTCTTCATTATTACTTCAATTATTTCACTCATAGGAAAAGCCTTAGACATTCAAAGAGGACCTTGGCATGGAAGTATAGGAGAATTAGGAACAAGAATAGGACTGCTCAGTGAGATCGCCTTATCAAAGATCAGACCTACCTCAACCTAACAATGATAAAACATGATGAAGTATTTAAAATTGGGGGAAACAGAAATTGCAGAATTAATTCCGTAAAAATGCAGTCATCTTATACTTACTGAAGCCACATTCACGAAATCGTCATCTGAGAGGGTTTCCAACATTTCGGAGACAGAGGTTCGGATCAGTTTAAGTGTCAATCCACTAACACTTCCACTCCTATTAAAAAAAAAAAAAAAAAAATGGGTCCATGACCACATGCCGAAGCAACACCACACATCAGAAGGAAAGGAGACTTCTGCACTAACTCTAGGTCATTTATGTAAGTAAATATTTTTGTCTTTAAAAATTAGTAAAGAAAGTCATGTTTTTGATACAGTAGAAATCAATTATAAGGAATCTTATCTTTCCTATCAGCATCAGAATGTATGTGTTTCTAACGATGACGATGAAAATTGCATGTCCAGGGATGATTTTAAGAAATTATGGATACTCATGGCCTATTTACTTATTCAGGAAATAGATACTGATTACCAGCTCTGTTAGCCAAGTTGAAGGGTTTTAGTCTTTATTTCTCTTGTCTACATATTCGATGATCCTTGGCAACCTCATCTCATTGTGAGACTCATCTCTAGGCAACTACCTCCCCTTTCTTCAACTCTGGGGCTCTCGGCTTTTCCCCACTTTTAGACTTCTGGCTGTTTGTTAAACAACCACACAGAGTCCATGTACAAAACGGCATTACTCCCATTTTCCTATTAATGTTCTTGGTACCAACCAGGCTGGATTTCAGTCATCCAATTTCCTCCTCCCTCTCAACTTTCCAATTCAGAGCACCTCCCTTTTTCATTCCACTTCCCAGTTCCCACAGAGGTGGCCTCCCCTCCATCTTCTCTCCACTCGGTGTCAGGTGCTTCTTACCTGAAGACCCTGAGCTTGGGTAATACCCACTCCATCCAACTCTCAGCCTCTACTCCCCCACTCCCATGTGAACAGGTGAAAATTCTGGAAACACACCTTGATCGAATACTGTTAGTAGCTCATAGTTACCTACTAACTAGCCGGTGATCACAAGAGCCCTGCTTTGCAAAACTTTCATACTCTTTCTTTCTTCCTTCTGCTCAGTACAGTTCCCCCAGATGTTCTCACCTACACCACTTGGCTCCTGTCAATTCTTCTACTGGAAAATTCCATTCTCCTTCCTTTCCTCTCCCATGCCCACCTTGTGAAATCCTAACTCTAAGGAATCAATTCTACTTCCATCTCCTTAATGAAGTCTTTTATGACACTTTAAATCGGAGTGCTCTTTTCTATTGACTCTTAGTGCTGGGTCAGACTTTACATCTATCACCTTCTACAATTATTTTAGTTACTTGGGAATAGGGTTTAGTTTCACTAATACACTTGAATTATCTTTGAGAGACATCTTAATCATCTTTGTCTCTACAGTATCACATTGTATAAAGGACAGCCTCCATACATGTTTGTTGAAATATCCTTTAAAAATGGTATTTCAACTTTGTATGCACTTTTAGTCTTCCAATATGCATGTGGGTTCTAAATATTTTAACATGAAAAATTATTTCTGGGAGTTACCATATTCCAGTAAGTTTGTAACGTATTGAATCACCATTTAGATTTATACTTAAGAAGAATATCAAGGATTAGCACATGATATAAACTCCACAATAATTAAAATGTTCTGACTTACTTAAGAAATGAAATGGGAATTAACATGTAAGTTATAGTTGTTGAATTCATTCATCTTCCCTTCTTCATGCTAGGTGACAGGTTTTTAACTTGTTTACTTCAGATCATTTTTTAAATGTTTTCAAATGTTGATACTAACTTGTAGTACGGATTTATCTGCCTATAAAACATTGGATTCTGTTTCTTCCAAAGTGGCAAAGAACAGAAGAAGATGTAACTTTTTCTCTCAGGGAAAATAAGCATTTTATACTTCATATTTTTAACTCCTTGGTATTACTCTTAAAAACTAATTATTTTTGATGTTCCACAATTTCATCTTAAATTTTATTAGAAGATTGCACACACACCCCCCTTAACTTGAAGCAATGTAAAAAATAAAACAACCAATATAAAAACTTGTGGAATTCCTTCCTATATACCAGCATTTCCCTTGAAAAAGTCCCAGTATCGGCCTTTAATATATTCGATATTTATCTATTTTGCGGCTAAATCCCTACAAGTTATTTGAATCATTAATGACTAAGTGCCAACTAATTTGTTTTGTTTTGTTTGGTAGCAGGAACTGCTAAGTTTTAGCAACCAAATACTTTCTTCTGTTTAAAATATAAAGCAAAAATTTGAAACAAAAGAATAATTTTCAAAAAGCTCAGACTTTAGAACGATGCCGTAATTTTCAATTCCAATATAGATTCTTCTTATTTTCAGTAAGACAATTTTTGTTTGTTTTGTTACTGTCTTAACATGGCTTCTTTGTCTGGATATAAAAGTCATCATGATTGCTCTTGGCCTTTTTTTTTTTTTTTCACCCAGCCTATTTCAACATACTACTGTTATCTTCAAATTCTCCCTATATTTTCAGTATATAAATGTAAAATATCTAACTACTCACACATCAACCAAGATAAGCATGTCTTTAGGCGATGCAGCTCCTTGGATGTACCTGAAACAAATACCACATGAATACTTTTTTATCTTGAAAAAGAGCAAACATTGATATGTTTTGAAAAATTGGTTTTTACTGATTTCTTCAAGTATTTTCCAAGCATGGCCCTACTTCCATTCTATCTCAGTAGACAATGTGCTTTCATTCAGAATTCTACAATGTTGATTTTTAAAAAGCTATATTTAACATAATAGAGATGTCAGAGGCAAAATATTTAAGGTATGTATCACAGCTGTAACAAAAGATCAAGAGATGTGTTCTAATATTAGAAGCAAAAGAAATTAACTCCTGGATGTAAAATATATATATATATATATATATCCTAAACTCCAATTTATTGACCATGGGGTTTAAAACTCACTCTAAGTAATTATAAGATTATATCCTGTTTTTCAATGCAAAAAATAAACACAGAAATAGCTAGGTGGTCTAGGAATGTGAGAAAACAACTATCAACAGACAAGAAACACTAAGGGGTAATACAAAGGGATAAGGAAGTAATTTAAAGTAATATATAACATTGCCAAGAGTAGAATCACCTGGAGAACCAGTTCAAAACACTGATTCTCACATTGAACCCCAGCCCTACTGACTCAGAATCTGTGCATATTAAAGCAAATCTAGGAAAGCTGTATTCAGATAGTTCAACGACTGCAGAGAGAAACTGAATTGCAGGGGAATGATCCCCAAAGTTTATGCTGCCTGGCCACAGCCTGATGGGGTTGGAAGGCTGATCTGCCCACCAGGAAGAGCTGAACCTGAACTCAACTTTTTAGTTATCACTCCAGCCTCTTTGCCCACGACTAAATCTAATCTCAGAAGCCTGCAGAAAACCTGCCAATTCGTTTTCAGACAACATCCAACACAGTGAGTATCTACTCAGGACTATGTGTTTGTGAAACAGAGCTTAAAACATGCACCAAAGGCTGTTTCTTTGTAAGGAGGTTAAATGGGGCAGGTTCGCCAGGATATTCCAATGAGAGGCAAATTTAGTTCACGTCCAGCATCTGAAATGGTCCTGGCATGCTTCTCTATGGGAAGATGAGAGGAGAGGATGGCAGCTTGGCACCTTCCTTCTAAGGGTCCCCTCAAAAACAACAAGTTCCTGAACCCAATCTACATGGTATCATAGTCTCGGCCTCCATTCAACAACCCATAGCTCCAGAGCCAGCACACCTGGAGAAATAGTAACAAAAATATTATGTAGATTAGAATATCTGGTATTATCATTTGTGGCTGGTGTTCATGTAAACTGCTACTGGAATGCTTAACAGGACATTTTCAAAGTCTTAAATATATTTCTTCAAATCAATCATCATGCATCTTTGAATTCGTACAAACCCTAGCAAAAAGTTAGAAATCATCTAAATGTCCAATAATAGGGGATTTTCAAAATAAGTTACCATATAATCATTCTAAAATGACGTTAAGCATGTCTCTTATGCATAAGCACTCAAAGGTATTGATATGAAAGAAGAGATTACAAAGCAGTATATTGTATAAAATGTGAACTCATTAAAAAAAGAAACCTACACATTAAATACATTTTTTAATTTTTTTTAAGATTTTATTTATGTATTTATTTGAGAGAGAATGAGAGAGAGAGAGAGAGAGAGCATGAGACGGGGGAGGGTCAGAGGGAGAAGCAGACTCCCCGCCGAGCAGGGAGCCCGATGCGGGACTCGATCCTGGGACTCCAGGATCATGACCTGAGCCGAAGGCAGTCGCTTAACCAACTGAGCCACCCAGGTGCCCTAAATACATTTTTTTTAAAAACGGAAATAAAATACACAAGCTTAATAGTTGTTTCCCAGTGAGTACACTCATGAGCTATTTGCTATTTTTCGAGGTATATGTTAGGAGAATGAGTTGCTTTAGTAGTGAGGAACAAAAAACTTTCCTTTTGGGAAAATGAAACCTAAGCTATGTGACCATAACTAGGGGCAGCTTTTACCTTGGGGCCAGTTCTCATTAGTTCACTGCCAGAGGCAAACTGCCTTCTACTCTATCGGAAAACTTCATTAGAGCTCTACTCCAAGCAAACTGGGAGCTTTTCAATAGAAACCCCCACCAGCTAAAAGAGATTTAGAGATGACATTGAATATAAACCTTACAACTAGTCCATTTGAAACCATTTGACAAATCATTTCAACAATTTTCATTATTATTGCTCACTTGAACTCACCATCTTCATTGAGTTTTAACTGCATTTATTTGATGGGGAAAAAAAAAAAACCCACACCAGACGTCTTTAAAATAATTAGACAATATTCATTCTAAAATGGAAATCCTTTCAACTTTTTCACCAAAAATGTGACCTTTTGTCTAGTTCATTTTTTCATGACTACCTAAAAATTCTTACCATGGTCTTCTGCGTACATCATAAAGATCAATCTTGTTTGGAGTTCTACTGTTATCAACCCATGGGGAAGCTAAAAGAAAGAGAAAGTAAATTAAAAATAGAGAAATTAAATAAAAATATTACATATGATCTAGAAAGATATTTTCAAAAGTCACAAAACTCCACCGACACATTCCACTTACCAGAGCAATAGTTAAAATGGGATTATAATTTTTACACCCTTAGTCTTTTTTTAAATGGCAAACACAGCAATATAAAAGAAAGTTAACAGAAGTTAATTTTCTTTTTTCACATTATTTCATAACTGACTTGTAGACATAGGGATTTTCTAGATGCTAACTTAATGTGTTTTATCAGGTGTCCAGTGTTTATACATTTTACTTCCCATCTACTAACATAAAAATTTACTTTAAAAGGAAAATTACTCGCCACTAATGGAATTGTACTTTCAATTATTTGATCCTTATATTTTCATTCAATGTCATACCATCTTGATCTATAAAAAGACACCTGTTTTTCTTAAATTGTTATTGATATAGTGGTATGATTTTTTAAATCTTTTTCTTCACATATTTGATAATGGCCGGAACATTTGTGATTATAATAAAAAAGTTAAAGTAAAATTAAAATAAATCCATGGAAAACTATTTTCCTTAAATTTATTTGACTGATTTGAAGTAATTCAAGCACAAATTCAAGGATCTTGTATTAGGTTCAGAGCCTTTATCATTTTGCAATCAGGAAAAAAAAATTGTCTAACTGCATTGATTTTTTAAATGCAATTTATTTGCATTTTTCTAACCAAATCTACCCTTTAATTAAAATTAAATGCTTTACACACACACATACCTTAGACCTAACGGAGAATAATAAATGCTGCAAAATTAGATGATAATTTTATGCTTAACAAGTCCTCTCCTTGAACATATGACTCTTAGGAAAATTCCTCTAATAATTCACATGACTTACGCCCCCCAATCTATTTTGCCCTTTTCTTTACTGAAAACTATGGAAATTATGGAAAACTTTAATGTGAATCAGGTTTATCAGCCAACTACAATAATTTGGCCAAGTAGGATATGTCAAAAATAGACAACTTCTGAGTCTCTCCTTGCCTTTGAAATTTTTTTTCTCATTAGTGACTATATTATAAAATGACATTCATTTTAAAGGACTAATCACATTTATACACAACAGTTTAAATATAGCCATCTCCCAATAACCATTTACAATAGTGATGCAAATGAAATGATAAATTTACTTTTATTCCTACAATCTTCACTTGCAAAAACGTAGAGCCAGTGAGATAACATTTCGCTTTTTCTTTTTGTGGGAGCCCTGGAACAAAGCAACAAGCACAACAAGCATGCCAGGAGACATGTCAGTTCACGTTCAACTAGTCCTCTATAATATCTGACTCCCCAAGCCGGGGTCTAGGTGATAACTACAAAGCTAAATGAATGATATTCTTTTAGTACAATGTTTTGCCGGTTATATATTTTTTGCCTCTCAGCTCCAAAATCACCCATTTATCTTGCTCTATGAAAAAGGATCTGGGCTCTTTAAATATTTTTCTCTTACTAAGGAACACAATTTTAAGCTTTGTCAGCAGATGATGAAAGAGAGACACTCAGTGAAGAAAGGGTTTTTGCTTCCTGCTTCTGATTTGTTTGCTCAAAGGTTCTTGGGGCGTGTGAGGCTTTCCTGGTGTCTGGATCCTGCAGGGCATTGTATTTTCCAGAGCTCAACTCCTATAGCTTGGGTAACTTTTGGAGGGCTCTCAGACTCTCCAGAAAAAAAATGGCCAGCAGTACTCCCTGACTACTTTTGTAGGAGTGCCTCCAAGGCGACATTTTGGACCTAGAGGATGAATTACCAGCAAACCATTCTAGCATGACATCATAGCAACTTTTTGGTCATTTGGTGGGCCATGACTCCATCTTCTTTAAGAAGATCTGGAATACCTATAGTATTCAGAGTGATCTGTACTTCTAGCTAATCCCTCAGTTTTCCAATCCCTGTTACAATAATTCTTTATTTCAAAAAAATTAACTTGCAAAAAAATAACTTTTCCTATTCAAAATACTGTTTTCTCTCTCCTGATTGGCTTCAGACTGTTACACATGATCAGGAGAGATGACAGAAGTGACATTAGGTAACACTGCAAAGGTCCCACAACCACCATGGGCTGGAAGTGGTTAAACAGTGATTTTGACGAGTGACTTAACAAACCTGAAATTTGAAAGTCATGTTTAAATTAGACTTCTGAATTCTTTGCAGACAACATTCATCTAGAATTTGTTTTCACTATACTTGTTCATTGAAATTAACCGTGATATGTAGTATTATGCTCTGTAAAATTGGTATCTTTCTTTAAAGACAGAAAAAAGGTTTGCAATTTACAGTATGAGCCAGACCATTCAATTTTAATATGGTTTATAAAATTAGATGGTTTATATTTAAAAATATTAATAATCTCTTAGAAGTCTTCTGCAATATTTACTATTAGGAAATATCCCTTGATTATACAAAATTAAGATACTTATATTATGGTAAAATTAAACAATGTACTTTCTTCTGTGATATCACTAATTAATTTGTTGCAAAATCCCACTGTGGCATTTAGGTGGTACATTATTTATAGAGGCTCAGAATTACAGAAGGTCAAATAGTAAAAAGGATAATAACCATACACTGAAATTCCCTGAAATAATCACTTTCTTAACGATGCATAATGAAAACTATGTGTTTTGAGAGGAAATTGGAGCTTCTAAAACTCCTGTAAAAAGGCAAAATGGTGTTCATTTTAGACGTCCCGTTTGCTTTCCACTAAGATTTTGGGATGACAGGAGAAAGGAGTGGTGTCCATCAAGTGGGCATTGTATTTCTGAATGCCATCATTAACGGTGACAATGACCGTTCAGGGGAATTTTTTCTCCAATCAAAAATGAACTGTGGGCATGTCTTCGGCTAAACCTACTGGACTACGATTCTACTTCACGTGCTATTTAGTGTGTGCTATGCTAGTTACTCAATCAGTGACCTCAAAAGGTACTTGCATGTACAATTACCCAGAATACTGAAATATGGGTTAGAGAAATATTCTTGAGAAAGTATGCAGATTGTAGAGCCATTTTCTGGTTAAAATGCTCTAAAAATAATATGAGTGTACAGTTTCTCATTTCAGCTGCTAGGAAATAATAAAGCACAGAAGGATGAAGTGAGGCCTGATTCTCTTGGTAGAAACACCACTTCAAATGACAGCTAATTGCAATTCCCATTAATGAGCTCAACAGCATTTTTCTAATTCTAATAGATTCTGCATTTTTGGTCACAGAGAAAAAAGGAAACTTCACATACTCAAAAATGCCTTTAAAACCCAACCCTGGTCCTGCTGGCTGGATCTAATTGGTATTATGTGGATCGTTAAGCTCACCTCAGTCATCTCTTATGGATTATTAGTGATGGTTCTGAATTCTAAGCCATGATAATGAATTTGGACTGTTTTTAAGCCAGAATTAATTCAATAAATATGTACTGTATAGCTCACAAAATTTCCAGGAATCTGAATGTTGCTGCCCAAACACTACTGTCCCAGAATGAATTCTCCACACTCCCTAACTCATATCATGGCTCCTGTATCAAGATTCAGGATGAGTCTCAGTAACAGACTGAGCGTTATGTACCCACACAAAAGTGCCAGAGACTCTAGAAAGGCAAATAGCTGGCCTTTTCAGATTCTGTGTTACAAGATGGGCCTCTGTTTTCCAGTAAAACTTTTAACCTGGGAAATACCCAAGACATGGAAAGGATTCTCTATCCATTATGGTAACACAAAATAACTTAATGAACAATCTCAAATCTTTTGTTTATTAGCACAAAGTTTATTACTCACTCATCTGACAGTCTAAGTTAAATATCACTACCCACAGAGGCACAGATTCTGCTTCAAGATGGTAGTCAATGACTTCTACCTAGTGGCCCTCTTGCCTTCTTCAGCACTTGGTTTCTAAAGTCACTCAGGAAGTGTGGAGAAGGCACACCCAAGTCCTAACAATCTCAGGCTTGAACTGAGACCTCTTACTTTTACTCATATACTACTGGGACTACATAGACACAAAGGAGGTCTGACAAGTATAGTCCCTAACAAGGCATCATTTCCAAAGGCAAAATTTCACAATGGAGTGAGAAGACACAACTCTGGTAGGTAGCCAGCAGCCTCGGCCATAGGTACAGATGGACAACTAAAATATGAGTAATGTCCACTACTCTAACATTACATTTTCTGTTTTCAGCAATGTTTCAAGTAAGCCACCTTTAAAATGAAAGAGATGAAGATGGGCTAAGTTCAGAACCCAGTAAATATAAAAAAGATACTGGATTTAAGAATTACTTCTAGACTCGGGTGCTTAGGTGGCTCAGTCAGGTGTCTGACTCTTCATTTTGGCTCAGGTCATGATCTCTGGGTCATGGGATGGAGCCCTGCCTTATGCTCTATGCTCAGTGGGGAGTCTACTGAAGATTCTCTCTCTCTCTTTCTCTCCCCCCCCTCTGGCCCCACCTCCGCATTCTCTAAAAAAATAAAAATAAAAATAAAAATAAATTTTTTTTAGAAGAATGACTTCTAGACTAAATCTTAGAACTGAGACTGCTAGCACAAAAAACTCAAGAGAAGAACATAAGAAGAAGCCAACTCAGTATTGTTTTTGATGCTGTTTGTGCTACCAAAGCAACCACAAGGCTAGACTGCAGAAATCTTGTCACTGTTGTGAACCCAAAGGCAATTTCTGTGCTCTAAACCTGCTGCAGAAACAGCAAGATATGAAAGCTGTTTAGCCCCAAGCACATCCCTCTTCGGATGTGCCAGAGAGGGTTACAGACAGAAGGGTTACTCCCAGAGCAAGCACATGGGCTAACCAAGAAATTTGCTTTATCCAAGAGTAGGTTGTCTTTGAGTTTCTTACCCAATGAATTGTAATATGTACCATCAACCTGTGACTGCTCTGTATTTCCTACTCTTTTTTCAAATGAGAATTTTTATTGTGGTCATCCAGAAGACAGGAGCATTTC